GGAAAAGATTCGCGAATCAGTTGTCTTTGAAAGTTGTGCTAGTTGGACCAATCGATTGTATCGCGTTTCTCAAAATGATGGGAACTATTTAAGATAATAAAAGAAGATAATTGTTGTAGAACTTGATAAGACGAATGTTTTAAAAAAAAGATCAGCTTTATTCGATGGAAAATGGAGGAGTTATTGCAAAAATACGGAGAGGCTCATTTATTCTGCCGCACCCGTTATATTGCGTCCGTCTAGAAAAAAAAGTATAATACACTGAACTACGATCAATTAGACTGAATTTTCTCTTGCTAATCGATTTATACAGATGGCTCAATCACAACGTGTAGCGGGTAAGGGTGTGGATGTGGGTGAAAATAGGGATGGGCACATTCATATCAGGCAGAGAGTGAGTTTGGCAACTAGTAAGAGCTAATGCATCTTGAGACATAGTAGAGACGAATACAAAAGTTCTTGTCTTGTTGGGCACAGGAATTTGAGACATTTATGAGTCCCACCCAGATGTTCACCCAGGGCCTTAATACTCACTGGGAGGACACCGTTTGTGCTATCAAAAATGTAGATCTTGCAGTTATGTGGGTGTTTGTATGCACCAGTTTTAGTGTTTGTCGGGGCTACAAGAGAGTTGTTGGGTGTTAGTGATGAGAAAAGTGATTTTTTCGAGTTTGTCAAGGATATATCTTTCTTAAAAGCTAAGGAAAGTGGGTGTTTGAGGGTGTTTGCGTTCATAACTCATCGAGATGTGGGCGTTTGTAGCAGTGGTCGACATGCGATCTCAAAGAGTCGGCTGTTTGTGCTGTTAGCATAAATTAGTAATACCCTCTTTTCTCCTTGATATGAGAGAGTTCGAGTTGAGGAAAACTCTCCCTCAAGTCCTGCTTGATCTGTATTTAATACAAAATCTTCATTATAATAAGGTAACAATGATTTAGCTTCAGAAACAAATTGATCAGCTGATTTTTTAATTTCAGCTTCATTGACGATCTCACGCTTTGTTACTACTTAGAAAAGAAGCGATTTACAGATCAACTTATCATATCAAACTTTCGTATGGTTGGTATGATTTATTTCCTAACCTTTATACTTTTTCTCGAGCAAATATTGTGTTTGTGTTTAAAATTCAAGATTCAATGATCTGACGCCACGAAACTATGCAATGACATCATCCTTGCTTTTTGTACAGCCCATCTTTTTAAATCAATATCATGTACTGCACAGAGAAGATCCCGAACACGCTCGAAGCTGTTATAAACGTAGACGTCTACTGATTCCGCATTTTGTTTCTTCGTTCCCCCTTTCTCAATATAGTCTCGGAAGCGGGACATATAAGATTGATCTTTGATTCTTCTAAATTTGTTCCGAACATTTCTCCATGTATGAGATCATTTTCCCGTTTTTGGATTAATTGCATCATAATAATCAAGCGCTCGCTTCATATATGATAAAGAAAATGATTCGAGCACCGGATTTTCTTCGTCTTTTGCTTCGTAACCCAAATCTTCCTCGCATTCCTCAATTTCATTATCCATTGTATTATGATCGAAGGTAATTTCATTTTCTTCATTGTATGACATGCTTGTCCATATTGACTCGAATATATTCTTGGAACAATTCCATTATTCGGTTTATTTCACTCATTGTTTTTTCAGATTGTGATAAAACTACGTGATACATTACTATATATTCCTGAGTGAAAGTTTTTCTTTTTCTTTTTACTCACTGCACCATTCTATGCATACTATAACACGAATAACGACTGATAAATGATAAATAGTTTCTTTCACACACTCTCCTTCTTTATTTGATATTCACACGTGTACAGAATAGGATAAATTCATTTCATTCTCAAGAATATACCCATCAGACGAATAAACACTTTTTCTTATACAGAAAAATTGATAACTTTTGCTAAAAGCAACTTGCGCACGAACCAACTTAGGATATGTCATACCTAGGTATGTCCTATCTACCCATCACACTCCGAGTCATAAAGCTTTTTGACACCTCGGATGGTTCCCTCGTAAGTGGAAAAGATTCTACTGTGCGTGGCTGTCGTCGGAGATTGGATCGAGTGAAAATAGAGATATTAGTATGATACTAACAGATGATGGTTGATTTTAGTACATTTTTATTAATAATGAAATACTTTCAACCGTTTTGGTTGTATTTGAGCATAGACTTCAAAACATAGACTAAAATTTCGTAAGTCAGCATGATACTTTATAATATTGTGAAATTTATTCAGCAGATGAAAAGATAGAACTAGTATTCTTCAGAGTATGAGTGGGAATTCTGTGCTGTCATCAACACTGATAATCTCATCCGTAAATGAAACTAATGCGTATAAAATGAGAAACAACTAACGTTGTATTTTTATCAATTTTCAAAGATAACTGTAAGACCATATGGAGGCAGTTATACTAGCTATGTTTCATCGTTTCCGCTTTGCAGTGATAAGCACTAATAGCGAACGTTAACTTTTATCAGAGAGCGGAAATTTAAAAACATGCCAACTCATAGAGNTTTTTTATTGGTGCTGACGTTTACAAAGGCTATGGTATGATGATATGATACGCTGATATTTTTCGAGGTAAAAAATTCGAAAATCTGCTTTTCGATATTTGAAATTTCGAAATATTTATTTTCTAGATTTTTATTTCTATATTTCTCTCTTTCGAAATTTCATATTTCGAGATTTTTTTTCGGGATTTTTACATCAATTCCATAATACAGCTATGGTTACTATAGTCTATCACAAATTTCTTCGCATACAAACTCTCTTATGAAACAAGTGTTAAGCCGTTTTCTTAGCGCATTGCATAAGTATATTGATCATTTAATTTTGTCGAAAAATGTCATTAAATTCGAATTTGTCGTAAAATCAAATTCCCCACTGTGACAACATTTGTGTATTCATCAATTAATCTATCAAACACAGATAGATGACTCATGTATATATTATCATCCTCTCCTTTCTGTTCATTATATCTATGCAGCTCGTCTCATAGCGAGTTCATCTTCATCAGTTCATCTAATGATTCTTTTCTCTTCTTCGTGTTTCTCTCTGTCCGTCTCTTTCTCTCCCTGTTCTCTCTTGACCGATGCGCTCAAAAAGAAAAGAGAAGAGAGGGAACGGATATAAAAGGAAATGTTTGGTTGAAATAAAGTCAGTCGAATCACCTTGAATAAAGTTTGTCATTACACCCACGAACTCAGCCGATCCCATACTTTGTCGTTTGCTGTTAGTAAAGCTGGATATACATATGCCATCACTGGTCTTGCAATCGCTTTGAAGATGTTTATCATCGTCTTTTGGTTAGGTTCTTGCGCTGATTTGGCTAAGTATCGTAGAAGACTAATGCGTCGAGTCATTTTCGATTCGAGATGTTGAAGATGATTTCTCCACTTCAGTTGCTTGTCGATAATTACGTCCACGTATCGGGTTGCATCCAGAGGTTTGATAGTAGTATTTTCGACTTTGGTTTCTACTGGATGTTTGTATTTCTTTCTTGTGTGAAGTCTAAAGGGGATCATCTCGGTCTTTGTTGGTTTTAGCTTCAGTTTCCATGATTTGCACCAACTTTCGAATGCATCTATGGGCTGTTGTAGTCTTTGTGAAAGACTGGTCAGGGTGTTGGATGATGTCCATAGAGCAGTGTCGTCAGCGAAGAGAACATGCTCCGTATGCAGCGGTATATCGTTCATCGGGTCGGTCGTGCAGATGATGTATAGGAATGGAGATAACGGCGACCCTTGTGGTGTACCCAAGGGGGAAAAAGCGAGACTTCATCTACTTCAGATATTATTTGAAGTATAGTGAAGTACTAGTGAAGTACCAGTGAAGTACCAATGAAGTACGACTGAAGTAAAGTGAAGTACAACTGAAGTAGGAGTGAAGTACAAGTGAAGTACCGGTGAAGTACAATGAAGTACAGTGAAGTAAGTAGTGTGTTGGTACTTCACCGGTACTTCAATGATACTTCACTGATACTTCACTGGACTTCACCTGTACTTCACCTGTACTTCACTCGTACTTCACCAATACTTCTACCAAGAACTATGGATGAAGTATAGGTGAAGTACGAGCGAAGTACAGTGAAGTATCAGTGAAGTATCAGTGAAGTGCAAGTGAAGTAGCTGAAGTCTGAAGTCTCTCTTTTTCCCCCTTGGGTGTACCACTCTGGTGCTGGAACGGATGAGATATATCATTGTCGATTTCGATCGCAGCAGTCCTTTTGTGGAGGAAGGAGATCAGGTAGTTGGTAAGGTATTGCGGGAGACGAAGATCATGTAGCTTGTATATAAGGCCATCGTGCCAGACTGAATCAAGTGCGGCTTTGATATCGAAGAAAATGACAGCGGAGTGTTGTCTAATTCCGGGCCGATGGAGTTTACTTCTTGCGAAGCGTTCAAGTCGGACGATGTTGTATAGTGTGCTCTTCTTCGCACGGAATCATTTTGTTATGTCTATTCACTTCGTCTCACAGCACGTTCATCTTCGACAGTTCATCTAATGATTGTTTTCTCTTCGTGTTTCTCTCGCTGTCCGTCTCTTTCTCTCTCTCTGTTCTCGCTTGACCGATGCACTCAAAAAAAAGAGAAGAGAGGGAATCAATATAAAAGGAAAGATTTTGTTGAAATAAAGGTAGTTCGAATCGCCTTAAATAAAGCTTGTCGTTACAGGTACGCCATCCATGAAAATGCCGCTGAAGTTGCTCGTCAATTTCAAAATCGTCTCGATTGAACTTCTCTGAGATGGAAGAGCATATTGAACCTTGTGCGAAAGTTCGACAGCACTGGTAGCGTCGAAGATGAAGCTCGATCTGGTTGTCCAAGATCTGTTAGTGCCGACGAAAATACAGGACGTGTTCATGCTGCTTACGAAGAAAATCATGCAACCTCATTAAGAAGAGCTTCTTTGGATCTCAATCTGACCAGGGGTAGTCTTCAGTGAATGATGAAAGAGCTCGGACTGGAGCCATATCGTCCTCGGTTGCTGCATGCTTTAACCGAAGACGATCCTGATAGACGTTGTGAATTTGTCAACATCTTTCTCAATTTATTGACTGGTGATTCTTCCTTAATCGAATTATTTGGACAGATGAAGCCATTTTCAAGTTGAATCATTATGTACATCGGCATAATTGTGTTTATTATGCCACAGAAAATCCGCATGTTATCGTCACACAAGAAATGAATGCGTCAGGCATTATCGTATGGACTGGAATCTGGGTAGGAGGCAGCGTAAGACCGTTCTTCTTTCATGATAACATTAATGGCGATAGCTATCTCAAGATGCTGAAAAGACATATTGTTGCTGCTATTGCAAGTGAAATGGATTTGGAAGAGGCAATCTATATGCACAATGGAGCACTAGCTCACTACGCTCGATCTGTTCGCCACTTTCGTGACAAGACATTTCTTGACAGCTGGATTGATCGACGTGGATAGATTGACTGGCCTCCACGATCACCAGACCTCACACCAACTGACTTTTTTCTGTTGGGTGTGCTCAAAGAGTGTGTATACGCTACGAAACCTCAAAATCTTCAAGCACTACAGGATGCTATGATCACTGAAATTCAAAGTTTACCAGTAAAAATTTATCAAAGCGCTTGCCACTCAGTATCGAAGAGGCTTCAACCTTCCAAAGACTTCAATGATGAACATATTGAACAGTTTTTTTAATAAGTTGTAAAATAAGAACCCTACAAATATAAACTTTCGTACATGTTTTGTTTTCTAAGTCAGAACTTCCATTAAAAGTTTTGTTGAAATTCACCAGTTTTCTTTGTTGTTACTCACTCTGTATCTGTATGTTCTAGGATAAATTACTATATCTAAGTATCGTTCACATGCCTGATCTTTTACTTATCACACTTACTGTATGTGGTATAAATATCAAACTTAACCGACAATCTATTATATAAAAAACAAAAAAAGAAGAAAATCATTTTTCCTTACTTTTGGGACACCCTGTATTGCAGACGACGTTTCATTGATTTCTGAACATTTCCGAAAAAAAATTTTTTTGATCTCGCCCCCTCCCACCAGTATCTAATATAAAAACATATCCCAAACAGCGTTTTATAAGGCTCAAAGCGTTTCCAAAAGAAGGTTTTTTGAACCTTTGGCCTCGTCCGTAGTGTTTTTTGGGTCTCCCTCTTCCCATAGCATCTGCTCTCGAGAGCCATCCCAAAAGACATCTGTCAGATTTTAGTATTTCAATACATCCTGACCGTTGTCCTTGGCACTCACAAACAAACACACAAACTATTTTTTTCGTATGACCCTTCTTCCAGTCGAGGGAGTAAACGCTAAGATATGCGCATTCTTAGTTTGTTAATGAGAATAAATTGAGATTTCGAGTTAACACGGCGTCTCTGTTGTTCTTTCAATAGAGGTGATGAATCTGTACTCGATAGATTTTGGAATGGTCTTAAAGAGTGCTGCCGACTTATAGATTTCTGGTTGCATCACTAATCCAAAGCCGTTCCACAGATTCATATATGACTACATCAGGATGATATTGTAAGACAATCTTCTTATCTAATTTTGAATAAGCGCTTTTTTCAACTCTTACATGTCTTACATCTTCGAAATGTCGCCGGAAATATTCTTTTACGGCAGATTCCGTGAAAGAGTCACCCAGAAATAATATTTTTCCTTTTTTCGCGCCCTTGTTGTTGTATTCAGTGACATTTTGTTTTGGAACAAATTGATGCTCCAAAACATGAGATACTTTTAAGTTGGCCATGTCTGCTAAGTCTCCTCTTCGTTTCAGTGCTCGATCCAGAAAAAAATCTTCTAATCGATGAGGCACGAACTGAGGATTAACAGGCAATAATCGTTTCATTATCTCTTCATAAACAAAAAATGATCCAATGCTATTCCAATGAGAATCGGATCTAAAGTATAGATCAAATTTATGTGCTTTTTTTGCTGTGATTAACGCTTGTCTTACATCTATCATGCTGATGTTTGAATGTAACTTTATATGTTCAAATATTTGCGCTTGTCTACTCGGACCGACGACTGTATGAAAGCGCCACGGTAAATATTCGGGATAGATTGAGTTCTTATCAGGAGCCGGAAGAATTAAGAAAGTAATATTTCTTTTAATAAACCACATATTTTCGGCTTCCAAATTTTGTTGTATGATCATTAGTTGGTCGAAAGAATAAGGATAAAATCCCTGCCAACCAGAAAGCGTTCTCGGATCAGTTGGATAATAATCAGTAACGAATAGCCAATTGTTTCTACCAATAATAACATGAAAAACACCTGATATTCCGAAAATTTTGACATTTAAAATAGCGTACATTGCCACTAACCGTATACGAAATCCAAAGTGGTCATTGTAGAATAAATCGAATTTCTTAATATAATCATTCATCTGCCAGATATTGAGAATTGGTTGATGAGCTAATGTTCGTTTTTCTGTCGATGGGATCTCAGAAATAATTAGAAGGTTTCTATTAATCTCAGGAAGTGAGATAAACAATGCGAAAAGAATAGTAATTATGCAATCAAATATCCAATGCTGTGACCGATTATACAGAACCATCGTGATATAACACGAAGTTTTTATTTCTCTATTAGAATCTGAAGTAAATAAAAGGGTTATAAGCTTCACTCGATATCTCCATGAGAGAAAGCAGAAGAATACTAGCAAAGAGAAATATTTTGAAGACAAATAGAACAGAATATGCAAGCATCCGGAGGTATCTATTCAAGAGATAGTTAGGTGCTACATACAGCGTACGAATGCTTGCGGATAGAACACTACATGAGCCAAGTATAGCAAAAATGATAACTGTTATTACTTTTGCGTCAAGATACTGTTTTACTGGAACGTTAATTCGATTATGGCGTGATTCTAGTCCAAATAGAACTTTGATGAACTGAATAGAGTGTGATAATGTGCTCGCTCGAAAAAATACCCATCCAATTGAAATTACACTCAATGCATAGAAGTGTTGTAACACTCGTGGAGTTCTGCTCAGTGCCCACGTACAGATTTTAGTCCGTTCTAGTGCTAGGAATAGTCCATGAAACAGACCCCATATAATAAAATTCCAACTAGCACCATGCCAAAGGCCACATAGAAAGAAAACAGTCAAAAGATTTGAACAAACTCTAAGCTCTGAAACTCGATTTCCTCCAAGCGAAATATATAAATAATCTCGAAACCAACTAGACAGTGAAATGTGCCATCGTCTCCAAAATTCTCTGACTGATCGAGACACATAGGGATAATTAAAATTTAGAGGAAACTGAATGCCAAACATACGTGCAAGGCCAATAGCCATATCTGAATAACCAGAAAAATCGCAATAAATTTGTAGTGAATACGTTAATAAACCAATCCAAGCGTGCGAAGTGTCTAGCTTTTCGATTGATAAATCAAAGATTGTGTCTGCCACGGCGCCAACGGTATTCGCTATAATCATTTTTTTACATAAACCAATTGTGAATTCTACCGCTCCTTGAGCAAATTCTTTGTAGCTGAATTTTCGATGTTCCACCAACTGTTGGGCAACATCATGATATCGCACAATAGGACCAGCTATCAATTGAGGAAAAAACGAAAAATATAGACCGAGTGTGATTGGATTCCATTCCACATAAACTTCATTCCTATATACATCAATAATATATGAAAGACCATGAAAAGTAAAAAACGAAATACCAAGTGGTAGATGTATTGTAGGAGTATAGAGTTTGGTGGCCGCTCTTTGTAAAGTAAGTATATTCAGGAGTTCTACAAGAAAACTTGTATATTTGAAAAAGCCTAACAGGATCAGGTTTCCACTAACTGATGCAACAAGGAGCCAACGGACTTTTCTTTCATCCGCGCTAGTACGTAAATAGAATATTCCCAATGCAGTAAAATAGTTCATTATGATGGACAACACCATTACCGCAATATATATAGTTTCATCCCAGAAATAAAAGAATAAGCTAGCTAAACATAGCCAACTATTCCGAAGTTGGGGCTTAATTACAAAACTAGTCAATAAAACGATAGGTAAAAATAGAAATAAGAACGTAGGAGACGTAAACAACATTGATAACGAGAATTATTAATAGGCACTGTAAACTCTTTATTTTCAGCGCATAATGTTCGTCACGATTGACAGCAGTCTCGACACAATCTTATAAAACATTCAAAAATCTTAATATATATATATATCATGGGAATATATCGCACAAAAGATAAAATTACAAACCTAGCGATTTTTTTCTGATGAAAACAACGAAATCTCTAAACATTTGTTTTCTTCAAGGGGGGAAACGGCACTCTAGAATTCCAATACTCCAGTACTCCAAATGGTAGTTCGATACTCCGAACGGTGCTCCTATACTGCCGTACTCCAAAACTCCAATCGTTTATTGAATCTTTAGTTTATTTTATACGAAATCATATTCTCTTCGATGTCGAAGAACGTTTTGCCCGCAAAAGAATGTTNCACTAAAAAGTGAAAAAAGATGGGTGGGGGGGGGTGGTTGGGGGTGGGGTTGGGTGGGGGGGGGGAGTTGGGGGGGTCGGGGTCAAGGGTCAATGGTCAAAGGTCAAAAAAAAATTTTTTCCAAAAACACTCGAAACTTCATAAAACATGGTTTGGGAGGATGATGGATGTTGAGAATGGAGGGTTGGTCGATGTTTAGCGTGAGGAAGACATTTTTTTGAAATTCACCAAGACGCTAGAAAATATGGTTTTGGAAGGGCTGCTGATTGTGGATGTTCGTTGGAGAAAGCATCGAGATTAACTGTGATAGCGAAGGCGGCCGAAGGCCGTCTGAGCGCTCGCAAAGAACATCCACGCGTTGTATTTATTTATGGGTGTTGCAGTGACTACAGGAAATCGATGTAGTCAATCAGTAGCGATGCTGGCTTTGAAAAGATTGAGATCAACCTTGATGGTGGATCAGAGTGAAAGAAGGAAGGGTGAATGAGAAGATATAATCTATAGGCTGACGTGTGAAAGTGGCAGTGAGTTGTATAAATGAACGGCTGGAATGGAGAATAAATATCAGGGTAGGAGAAAATTAATCAAAATCCTATTGCAGAAATCAGATTCAGCAACGTCTTTGCGTACAAAATTGCAACCGAAGCAACTGCATTGTGCAATGCAAAAGCGGAAACATAAGGACCGCAAGTGTCCAAATTTTGAGCATGTTGCTTTTTCTACCCAGTACAATTTCTTCGTGTGTCATGCGTTCGCTATATATATTTTGGTATTTCCCTCGACTGAAAGGAGGGTCATGTCGAAAAAAAGTGGTCAAAAAACGGAAATTCGTTTGTGTGTGTGTGTCTGTCACAGGTCAAAGGTCAAAAAAACATTTTTTTCAAAAACGCTCAAAACTTCATAAAACATGGTTTGCGAGGGTGTTTTGATACTGAAAGTTGGTTGAGAGGGTGAGGACATGTGAGATATGGTCGATGTTAAACGTACATTGAACCCTGAGGTCAACGGCCCATAAGAGAATTTCATTATGAGGGGAACAAAGATTAGGTAAAAGTTTTTCATAACTCCAAATGTGCAAGGAAATGCATCATACGTCGAAACTGAAAGATTCATTCGCAGAATGTAATGTAATTTGTATTTATGATAGTAGGAGAATTTCCTTCGAAACACAAGTCCGAAATACAATTCTGATTTTTTTGCTTCTGTTGATGTGATTATAGAAAAGAGACGGCGAAGAATCTTGTATAAATTATTGTTAGTATTCGTTTTTCTTAGCGTACCGAATCACAAATTGGACACCAGAAGAAGATGTGTCTTACACTCTAGTATAATAGTGCAGAGAAGAAAAGTAATGATCGTAAACAAAATGAACGAGATTTTGATATGACCACGTCTCTAGTAATTGATAATTTTGTTGGAAAGTATTGGAGCAGGCATTGTTTAAATAAGTTGGATAGTCAGACTGAAAAATGGGAAGGGTGCGGAGCGGCGAGTCGTGAGTGGCGCCCCATTTGGGCGCCGACGAACGACGAGCTGCTTCCGGTGACACTTTCTAGTTCACATTTAGAAACATTTTGACACCTTTGGATTTGAAATTTACATGAACACTCATCTTTCTTCACTTAACTCTTCATTTTATTAGAAAAGGGAGAACACGTATAAGGTATGAAGCGGCAGCACGACCTAAGATTTCTGCACCATTCTATTGTTTAGAATGTTAGATAATCTGTTAAATGCGTATTTTATAGAGAACCGTTTTCTCTTCCAAGCTGTAGGCTTTCAACGATACCATAAAACTTTCTTTTAGGGCAGTGTCAAAAAGAAACCAAAGGGTTAGTTTTGAGCGAGCTGTGTAGAAGCGAAATTCGCCCGATCATTTTGCTGCATTAGTCGAAGAGAAAGTGTTCTATTATGATCTAACCTACACAGTTCGGAAGAGAAAAAGATTCTCTGCAAAATGCACATTTAATAGATTCTCTTATATTCGAATCAACGAAATAGTGGAGCCATTTGCGGTTGGAACCAAAAACGTTTTTTGGTCGCGATGCTAGATCCTAGTTTGAAGATGCCTGTGATGATCTATAATGCAAGAGATAATATATGATAAGTGTATCCTGTATTGAATCGAAACAAATGGAATCTCTACTGTATGTTCCTCGTCCTTTCACAGTTCTCAGTACATAGAGTATTACGCTACAGAAAAATATCAAGCTTTATAAATAATATCTAAGATCTATCGCTATCATACAATGAGTTGATGAGCCAGATGATCATGCGATCATAGCCTTTTCAAAACACAGAGAGCAGAAACAGTCGTACATAAGAGTGCGTTTCTGATATCAATATTATATGAATCGTACATAATAATAAGAAGAGATAAATCTATCAATATCTCTATGTTGGGTATATGGATTAAGAGGCTAATGTCGAAGTTCATATACGAAGGAAGAAAGCAGATAATTGTTGTATATGAAGAGGGAGAGAAAGAGAGAAGAGGAAAAGTATACAATCATAGATTGTCATAATACCAAATATCTATAGTTTGAAACTTAAATTTAACAGTCTACCCTTCCGTTCAATTATTCGAGTATTCGTATACTTGCGAGTGAGTAAAAGGGTTCTGAAGGGACATCATTTCAGT